CGCCCCACCCCGCCCCGCCCCGCCCCGCCGCGACAGTGACCACGTGATCACATGCCAGCGAGCGAATCGGATTCGCCGTCACGATTATCCGCACAATGGTTGCGCGGAGCGGGGCTCGGCCTCTGAACTATTTGATCAAATGAAAACCCTACTCCTCCGTGGGAAGCTTCGTGTGTTACACTTTTCGCATTTGAAAGCAATAGCTCTTAAACTGGAAAAAATATCAGTCGACAGAACTAACAAATTAGCATATCAAAATTGGCTGTGCGGTAACTAATAATTACTTTTTAGAGCGAAGAATGCACGGCTACTGAGTTAAACACTACCCTACTAAATAATATTACCCTATAATATATTCAACTACGTATCAATTTTTTGAAAATAAACTCCAAATGAAGATTGGAAACGAACCGCCAATCGGGTTTTCAAATTCCCCCCCCCCCCCTGCAGTAGCGACTTCCGGTTTCACTTTATTTCAGGCGGGGGAAAAGGGGGGGAGGTGGGGGTAGCTTACTCGCGCCGTCCTCATTTTCGACCGTGTAAATTAATCGGACGCGTCTGACCACTAGTGACCAGCGGGCCGCAGGTCGGAACCCCGGGCGGGGCTCGTCCGACAACAGTGTTACGAGACGAGGCGCGACGGGTTCCAGAGCTTCCCATCTCTAATATTTCACGCGCCATTTTTCATCAAATATACGTCGCGTTGTGTGGCCATCAAGGAAGTGGTGGAAATGAGATGTTATCTGCCGATGGCGTCGTCTGGAGGCGCGTGACCGCGCCACACACGCGCGGGGGAGGGTGACAACGTTTGCCCTCGGAGGACGTTTTCTCGCGTGGGTAACGATGCCAACAATTTAGAGCCCCGCAACGAGCGAGCTACGCGAACTAGACCCCTTCTTCGGCGGGTGAGAGGGGGGTCGGGGTAGGCATTTAACTCGCGTAGCTCGCTCGTTGCGGGGCTCTACAACAATTATTATGGCTTCTCGTGTACAAAATTAAGTCACACGTACATATATGCGTATGGACGGGTTGCATACTCGCACGGGGCCGTAAGAGGTAAGGCGCCTCGCCGCGGTGAGCGACGAGGAGGCAGGCCCGCCCGCACGCCTGCATCCGGAACGGTATAACCAAAAAGAAAGAACGGCGCCGAATGGGCCACCCCCAGCCACCCCATACAGAATTACGCTCGGAATTGCGCGTTTTTTATCCGTTTTTATCAAAACGTAAAGCAACCCCCTGCTAAGACACTACTTAACAGGATGACAATGAAGCTGATGTGCCCGAGCCTGCTCCGCACTAAATGAAATGTAATTCAAGGGGCAACCACCTCGGCCCAGCGCGCGGTCCAGCTCATATCTGCTGCCCCGGCCGGCCTGCGCCGCCCTGCGCCGCCCTGCCCTGCGCTGCCCTGCCTTTTTCCTCTCAGAACGACTTCCATTGTTGGCTAACCGGTATATATCAGAACCGGATAAGGCTCTGGCCTGCCGCGGGGCGCGGCGCGGCCCAGCGCATCAGCGGTGGCGGCGCAGCGCGGCCGACTGCAGGCGCAGGCGGGCGGGGCGGGACAAAGCGGAGCAAAGCGGAGCTGATGAAAATGACAATCACTTTGGCGGGCGGGAGGCTGCCCCCTCACCGCCCTCACCCCTCTCTCAGTTCACCCTCCCTCCAGAGCCCCGCTCCCTTTCCGAGCTTTTACCCATCTCCTTCCAGTCTCTTAAGATGATGCTCTTTTCGCTTGCTGCTGCTGCTGCTGCTGCTGCTGCTGCGGGCGGATGCCTAAATCATTCCGTGAACGAACGCCGCCCCTACTCGTCCCGAACTGAACCGTTTTCAGCTAGTAAATTTTTCATCGTGAAAGCAGAACATTGTTAAGGGACCAGACCAGAGCCTCCGAACCATCTTCCGACTCCGACTTCGGAAAAGCCTTATTTTTGTTTTGACTCTTTTTACACTCTTTTAACTGTTGCGTGTTTCGCTGGGGAGAAGGAGGAGGGGGTGGGTGGAGCTCCGATTCAACGCACGCACGCATTGCCCCCCCCTCTCTCTCTCTCTCTCTCTCTCTCTCTCTCTCTCTCTTTCTTACACACACACACACACACACGTGCGCGCGATGTGATTCCCTTTCCCACGTTAAACAAGAGCGAGGATCTGCACTGCATCTTTCGCATTGCGTTTCGCGAGAGGCGACCGACTGGACGAGAAAACGACGACACCAAACCATTCTCCAAAGGCTCTCCGGCCTGGAACGCATGAGGTATGCATTGGCTGCGGCAGAGTTCTCCCCTGCCCCTCCCTTACACCACCCGATCCACACTAAACAATACATTCAAGGAGTCTGTCCATCCTGCAGAGCAGGGCTCAACGCGCGAAAGAGAGCAAAAAAGGAAAAAATAAGAAGAATGAGGATTCTTACCTGCTCGTTGGCTGTAGTCTGGCTGACGGCGGGCTGTACGTCAAGGTTTGGTTTGTTGCCCTCGTCGACGGGGGCGGTGCTCGTGGAAGCGTCTTCGACGGCAGCGGCGCTCGTGGCAATGTCCTCCAAGGGGGCTGCGCTCGTACCAGCGTCCTCAGAAGGTGCTGCACTCGTACCAGCGTCCTCAGAGGGCACTGCACTCGTAGCGGCGTCCTCAATGGATGCTGCGCTCGTACCAGCGTCCTCAGTGGGGGTGGCGCTCGTAGCAACGTCCTCTTCGGGAGTCGCGCTCGTGGCCTCCTCCTCCACGGGCACGGGTGGTGCTAGGCTCGTAGCAACGTCCTCGTGTGGGGCAGCGCTCGTAGGCTCAGTGCTCTCGTTCGTTTCTTCTGAACTGGTGTTCTGCTCTTCACCACTGCCCTGGACGACCTGCTCTTCGCCCGTGCTCTGCTCTTCAGTGTTCGGTGCAGCTTCCTCGGAGCTTGCCTGCTCTCCACTGCTGCCAGCCTGGGACTGCTCTTCAGCTCCTTGCTGCTCGTCTTGAATGACGGTTGACTGTTGGGTCTGCTCTTCGGCCTGCTCGGGTTGTCCCGTCGTACCCATATCCTGCAGAGTGGTTTGGACGCTGGTCGGCTGCAGGGTCGTCTCAATGCTCGGCGGCTGCGTTTGCTCTTCAGCTGCTTGCTGCTCTTCACTCTTGTCCTCGTCCACAGCCTCAACTTCCTCTAAAATTGCGTTGATTTCTTCTTCCGTTTCCGGCTTGGCCTCGGGGTTCTCTGGGTCCTCCGGGTTAAGGAACGGCTCCCCGGGCATTTTGATGACATCTGGCTGTGGGGTCGTCCCAAAATCGTCAGAGGCCTGCGGGGCCTCCGTGGGGACGCGGAACGCCGTAGTGGTCTCGTAGTCGGGCACCTCGGGCGTGGTCGTCGGCGCGTCCGCCAGCAGTTCGTTGTTGATGGCGTTGATGAGCTCGGAGGCCTCTTCAGCGTTCAGGACGGGGAGTGCTGCAGGCAGCTGGACTGTCTCGGACTGCGCCGGCTGCTGGGTCACACCTAGGTCCGCCGTCGTGCCCTCCGTGGCGGCTGGGGCTGGCTCGGTGGGCGCGGCCTGGGTGCCGGCCTGGGTGCCGGCCTGGCCCGCGGCCTGGTTGGCCAGCCCTTCGGTACTTTCTACCACGACTATTGGCCCGGCCTGGCCCTCGGCCAAATCGTGTGCGACGTCGTAGACAGGTTGGATGGGATCGGGTGGCAGCGTCGACGTCACCATGTCCAACGGCGTCGTATCCCCGTGCTTCTGGGCCTCCACTTCGTCCTGGGGAGAGGTCGAAATTTCGGTCAAATCAGTGAGGTCACCTTGAGGCACGTCCTGGAATAATTCTTGTGGTTGGCCTTGGGGCACAATTTGAAGCGGCGTTTGGGGTACTATTTGGGTGACGTCCTGGTCTACATCTTGGGGGATTTTTTGGAGAACCATTTGGGAGACATCTTGAGGCACCGTTTGCACTGCATCTTCAGGAAGTGATTCTGACGGGAGCGTGATTTGATTTAATCCCTGAGGGATGGCAAGTTGCGGTACATCCTCGGAAATCGAGGCTGATGCGCCCTCGGGCAATGGCGTGGTTTGCGGCTCTTGTTGAATTTCATCCTGAACAGTCACTTCTGGCAGGTCCTGGACTGAATTTTGCAATGACTCGAGGGGTACGTCCTGCAACAATTCCTGGGCTGTGCTTTGGGAGGTGCCTTCCGTTGCACCCTCTGTTTCTTGTTGGGGTAGATCATGAAGGGTTGCTTCCTGCAGTGCGGCCTGCGTGGTCTCCAGCGGCGTGTCCTGCGGCACGTCCTGTGGAACGTCCTGAGGCACGTCCTGCGGCACGGCCAGGTCCAGCGGTGCGTCCTGCGGTGCGTCCTGCGGCGCGTCCTGCAGCGCGTCCTGCGGCGCGTCCTGCGGCTCGTCCTGCGGCACGTCTTGCGGCACGTCCTGCGTCGCGTCCTGTGGCACGGTCTGCGGCACGTCCCCGTCCTGGGACGCGTTCTGCGTTGCCTCCTGCAGGGCGTCCTGCGATGATTCTTGCGGGGTAGATTGTGTTGCCTCTTGCTGTATGGCCTGCGTCGACTCCTGCAGCGCGTCCTGTGACGCGCCCTGTGGTATTTCTTGCAGTGCGTCGTGTGATGTCTCCTGTGGCACGTCTATTACTGCCCCTTGCGGTACGTCCTGCGATACTTCCTGCACCAAGTCCTGAGACGTCTCCGTCTCCTTCGAAGATTCGTCTGATAACCCCAGGAGCACGCCCTGTGGTGCCCCCTGCGGTGCGTCCTGCAGGGGCGTCAGTTGAGTCACGTCCAAGGTCACACTCCCCTGAGTGACTGCGGCGTCATGCTGTTCTTCCTGCGCTATGTCTTGTTGCGCGCCATGCTGGGTGCTCTCTAACTCTGCCTGTCCCAACTCTCCCTGCCCAACCTGTCCGACAACGTTCTCATCCCCCAACACAACAAAGTCTGCGGGTGTCAGCGTGGACATGGTTTCTTCAGAGACTGGCAGTGTTTGAGCCGCGGCCGCCGGCACCTGTCCCGCTGGGTCGGCAGCGCTGTCGTCAGTCGAGCCGAGCGGCTCCAGTTGAGTCGCGGTCACGGGGGCGCTGTTATCAAGGGGCAGATCGGCGGGCGCTACCGGACGCCCCTCGGGGATGACTTCCGCTGACACCCGAGGCGGCGGAGTGGGCCCGCCGGCCACGAGCAGCAGCGCATCGCTCGCGGGGGGCGGCAGGGGCGGCGCGGTGACGTCCTCGTCGACGGTCTGCTCGGACAGGCCGAGGTTGATCTGCGCAGCCTGCGCGTGCAGCTCCTGCTGGACCGCGGCCTGCTCGCCATATGCCTGATCCTCACCGGCGAGGCCTGACACTTCGACGGCTGGGGCAGAGGCCAGCTCGTTGTTGACGGCAGCGATCGCGTCCGAGATAGAAGAGACAATGCTGGCCGACGAGGAGTCCTGGACGGCAACTGGTGCGTCCTCTTCGTGGACGGTCGGCGCCACAGCCTCGGGTGCGTCAGGCAACAGCTGGGCGTTGAGGGAGGCCACTTCCTCCTCGGACTGCAGAGCGGGAACGGCGGGTAACAGCTGGACGTTGAGGGATGCCACTTCACCCTCGGACTGCAGGGCGGGCACGGCGGGCAGGGTGGGCAGGGTGGACTCGGTGACCAGCGGGTCAGCGAGAGCTGCTGACCCCGCGGCCTGTGTCGACACGTCTTCGGACACGTCGGCGCTTCCGGAGGGCGGCGCGCTGCTGGAGGTGGGATCCAGGCCGTGCTGGGCGGCCCCGATGGCCCCAATGGCCCCGGCCGAAACTTGCTGTTCCACATCCGAGTTGGCTTGGGAAGGGGCCGCGAGGGGCGGGAGGGGCGCCAGTGACGCGGCGGCCGCGGGGGCTGCCAACGTGTCCGCGCCCGCGACGTCGATCGCGGGTTGAGCCGGCGGCGGGTCCTGCTGGCCCTGCAGCTGCTCCGGGTTCTCCTCGACAACGGTGGCGGTGGCGGGCAATGCGTCAATCACAGGCAAGGGCTGTGCGATAGCAGGGGTGTCCTGCTCTGCGAGACCCACCGAAGGAGACTGGGGTAGAAGTGCCGCTTGAACGTCTTCTACTGCGACGTCTTGTGCAGGGGCATTTTGTGTGGGGACGTCTTGTGCCGGGACTTCTTCTGCACGGACTTCTTCTGTGGGGGTGTCTTGTGCACCCTGTAGAGGAAGGGGCCCAGTAAGATCTTCTGCGGGGGGTGACAGTGGGGTGTCGTCCGGTAGAATTGCAGAAGGAACGTCTTGTGCGGGGAGGGCGGCGGGGACCTCCACTGCACTGACCGGACCCGGGGCTGCAACTGGCGCGTCCTCAGCGTTCTCGGCCGGGACAATGTCGAGGGCGAGTCCGCCGTGCGTCACAGCGGGGGCGTCCTCCTGAGGCAACTGGATAGAGCTTGGCACGACAACCTGTTCTTCGTTTACCGTTCCTGAATTCGCGAGCGACAAATCCTGCGCCGAGCCTCCCTCCTGCTTCGGGACGTCCTCTTGCGCGATCGCTGACTCCGGGACGTCCTGTTGTGGTTCGCCCTCCTGCTGGGAGTTTGGTAATGACTGGGCTGGAGTGGCCTCGACGGGGGTAGCGGGCTGGAAGACACCCGGTTGTTCTGGGCTGGGGTCTTTCACGACGGCGGCGGCATCCTTCCTGTCTGCGGCCAGCGCCACCAGGACTTCCTGCTGCGGGGCCGGGACGTCCACCAGCGTGGTCGTGTCCGGGCTGGGCATGGCCTCCAGGACCTCGGGGACGGCGTGCTGCATGACGGCCTTGGGGTCCTCGGGTAGACTCGGAGCCTGCGGAGTCTCGTCCTGCTGCGCGTCCCAAGCGGGGCCGGCGGCCAGCTCGTTGATGTCGCTGGCCAGGGCGGCCTCCAGGGTGGCCGCCGGGACGACGGCCAGGTCGGCGAGCGGTGCCGAGCCGCGGGGGCCCTCCTCGTTGGAGCGCAGCACGCTCTTGAGGCCCTCCACGGCGGAGTGCACGGCCGCCTCCACCGGGCGCGTCTCCTCCACCACCTGCGGCACGGCACAACGGGGCACATGAGACACTCGGGCCGCTTGCTGACCTTCACCCTTGCGGCACTTCACCCCACCCCGCCCCTGCGCCGAGAGTGTGCCTCGAATGTCAACACGGCATCAGGATATGAAGGCTCGCGTTTACACTAGAGTGCGAAAATAAATCCCCACCGCCCATACATAGTCATCGTAATAAAAACAAATTTGGATTTTTCGCTTATCTGTGGTCTTTTCAAGGCTCGTTCCTTCCCCATGTGCGGTCGCGCGCCAAGCAGCCGCCAGGAGGGCGGGTAATCACCCTGACTTACCTGGGTCGGGTCCACGGCGGGCGCCGAGGCCGGGGGCAGGCTGACCACCCAGACGTCCATGGGGCCGGCACGGGGGCCTTGCGGGCCTCCGACCGGAGCGGAGGTCGGCGCCGAGGCCGCAGGGCCGAGGGCGCCCAGCGCCAGCAGCAGCAGCAGCGCCGCTGCGCAGGTTGACGACCACATCCTTGGTGTCAGTCAGGGCCTGCTTCCTCTCCTCGTCGCCTCGCCTCGCGCAGGCCTCTGGGCTGTTCCTCCTGTTCCTTGCGACGCGCACACGCTCCGTGCACTGGCCGCACTGGCTGACTTGGGCTGCCGGCCCGGCACGGGTCGGGCATCGCGCCCTGCCCTTCCCTTCCTCGCGCCGCCCCGCCCCGCCCCGCCCCGCCCAGCGCCGTCTCAGGTCCTGTACCTGGGGCTACCCCTTCCCCCCTCCTTCCAGGCTCCAGCGGCCCAGCGGGCTCCAGGCGGTCCAGTCCAGGCTCCAGGGCAGACGGCGCGAGCGCTGCACCGGTCAGGAGTAGGGAGGGAGGGGCAAATGTGCAAAATTGGAAAATGAAACATTCTTCGGAGCCCCCCCTCTTTCCCCACCCATTTTTCCTTCGCTGGGTTTACTCACAGACCATGGTCATAACAGCAGGCCATCGAAACTCTATAGGAACAACTTCCAGAAGTCGAAAAAACGTTGATCCGTCAGATATCGTTTCAGCACACCCAGAAAACGATTCCAGTGTTTCGGTGGAATGAAAATATGCTGGAATTTTTCCCTTGACTCAATGGAATATCATTGACTCAAGCGAAAATTTTCCATAGGGTAACGAGAAATTGCGAAAAGTCGCAGTAAAGCTCGATCATGTTTTCATTGGTTAAAATTCCGTTGATCTAAGGGAGGCTATACTTCGTTTATACAAAGGAACCATTTCCTCTGTGCATAGTTTTGACTGTCTTTCACTGGGTCTCACCCACAAGCATCTTTCAATCCAATTCTACATCATTAGAGGTCTAGAACTAAGTTAAGACAGCCCCCCCCCCTCCCTC